AATCATTCTATCGTATAATCTTATCTAACGATATTTGTTCTCTCGTTCACTTCAAGTAGCATTTGTGTGTTTATATTCTTTTTCTTCTCTTTTCTTTTTTTTTTTTTTTTTTTTTTTTTTTTTTTTTAGACTAAACTTAATTTATACAAATTTTCTTATCATAATTTACATTATTTTACAATCAGTCATTAATCTTTACAATTTGTAACCAAAAATAATGTTATATATATATGTATATATTGATTTTTTAGGTACACGTGTGAATATAAAAAAGATCTAGAAGGAAGAAGAATAAAGAAATAGTTAAAGAACGAGGGTAGGAACACCATTCATGAACTATAATATATATAAGTACTCATTTAAGGCTTCTAATACATGTTACGTCTTCCATGTTATTTCGATCCCAGTTTTTTCTCGTGCTAGCACGAGCTAACATCTGTTTGGTGTTAGTCTCGTCAGTATTATTTTACACTCAAACGATATTCCTTCGGTTTTACTTGTTTTTTATTAATATTTTAATCTTAATTTCTAATTCAGTAAGTTTACTAATCGTAAATATTATTAACTATTAACGTATAAGATTCATTGAATATAAATATCATTGCTCATTGAACTTATACGTTTCTTAAAAGATAAGATAGTTAAAATAATTGAAGAAAGATATACAAAATGATTTGTATTAACATATTGCCACACAGAGTGTGTGTGAATTTATAATAATATAAAAATTTTATGTTTAATAAAACAAAAGGATATAAATATTTTAAATATTATTAATTTTTCAAATGACAATGATCGTAGAAGTATTTTTTGAAGCGTTTTATTTGAATTCAAATTCATCCATATATAATTTAAAATTTATTATAGAATTTTGATCTCGTATAATATATTAATATCATATATATTAAATAAATATATTTATAATGAAAATTTGTGAGTGTCTGTCGAACATATATTTACACTAAGGCTTCGTGTGTAGAATTGATTAATTGAATATACGATACGGATGGAACTAGAATTACATGGAAGATTCAGCATACGGGTTAATCTGATATACACAGCAGCAGGCAACATGCGATAAGCCATGATCGAAACCGCCCCCCAAACGCGTATGGTAATCCAACTTAGTATTAACCACGCCATGAAGAACACTTTTGAACGAAGATCAGTGCTGTTAAATCACACCGTTCCTTCAATGTTTTACAAATAATCGTGAAATAATATTGTTGCCAATTAATTACGTTGAACACGAGGAGTCATGAAAATATTCGACAAATTATTTCAAAACAATAAAAGAAAACACGAGGTATCCAAAAGAATGAGAAAAATGACGACGAGGAAGAAAACCGTTGGAAAAAATTATTCAGGATTGCAGCATCTTCCTAAGGATGATTTTTTATTTGGCGACAATAAAAAAACATCGAAACGAACTAGACGAAAACGCACGGTACGTTTATTTATTGTTGTTGTTGTAAAACGTTTGACGTTGTTAAACAAGTCATTGTAATTTAGATAGCATAAACTAGAAAGCTTTTATTCAAAATACAATTTTTTTAAATGTTTATTCGTTATGCAACTTGATTGTTAAATTAGAAAATTCATGATACGAACGATCGATTAATTTTCGTTGTTTTTCTTAACTTTCTTATGTATTTGATGTTGACTTTGTAAGAGATAACAGTTAATTGGATGTACACATGAGGAAGCTCGTAATTTAATAGAATACAAGTTAATTAGACGCATTATAAGAAGTTCTTCCTCAGTTTTTCTTAAGAAATGATCGCATAACGAGGGAAAATTGTATTGCCAATCTTGATGCTAGATATATTGCTGTTCTTTTAAATACTCGTGTGTGATAATGTTTGCCGATACATGTTTCAAGATTAATAGAAACATTCTTTTCATTTTGATTCCTTTGAATGATCAGAAAATGATTAAAATTAAATTGCATTTTTTTGATAGATTAAATTATGTCTAACTAAAATTTGATTTTATTAAAAAAAGAAATATTAAAAATATTTATAATTATACATATATATTTGTGGTTAAACGTTCGGCCCCTATAACGTAACTTTACTCATAAATAAAAGGTTTCTTGTCTAATACTCTCGTTAGTACACCTTGCGAGATAATCTGATTAAGGCTTTGCCATAATATACGTCCGCATTCTTGTGACATGTAGAAGTGAAGAATAGTGCCAATTTATGTCATCTCTAATTAGTTTATTACACGCGACTTTATGTTTAATTAAAAGAAATTTTCTTTTCAATCGGAAATTATATTTCACACCAAGCATACAAAAATTTTCTGTATATAATTTATGTTATTGAAAAAAAGAAAGAAAAGAAAAGAAAATAAGCTTACATTTTTACCAACAAATTATCAATGCAATAAAAATGATATATTGTTAGCGTGAATAATTAATCGATCTGGGGTGCACATCGAGAGATGCAAATTTCTTTTATATTCATTTTGAATTGTAAAAAAACAATCGCCCACTGGCCATTTATATTCTTACGAGAGTTAAAAGCAAGATATCGATCTGCAAAGTTGCAACACAACAAGGTATTTGGCCTCTCAAGGACGTTGGGTGGTTTAACCTGATAGATACCGGAAGTTACTTACTATGATTGTATATAGAAAATTATAGTCAATTTTATTTATAGATTTAATTTTCTAATTATTACTAAAATTTAATAAGAAAACTATCTCTCTCTCTCTAAAATATATTAATATTGTTAATTTATTATAAAATATGAGCACCGAATTTCTTCTTTTTTTTTTTTAAACAAGCTACTATGCTAATTTGTATTATTCACTCTTTGTTCATGTTAAATGAACAAACAATGCTCTTTAAATTTAGTAGTAATACAGGCTGACTCCTATATCAATTTGTTTATGTTGCTTTACTTTGTTAACAAAATGTTCTTTGTTGGAAATTTATTCAGCTAAATTTCGTGAAATCTTGACCCCTTCTCATTTAAGGATAATTTAGGAGTAAAAGTGTTTTAAATCATTTTTCTTTTAGTTACAATTTAAGATAAAAAAAAAAAAAGAAAAGGTTGTGGTCTATTAAACCTTCTGTTTGTGCATAGTATCTAGATGAAAGATTAGAATAACAAAAGAATAGGATGTATAGGACGAAAAAGGAGAGGTATATTGAAAAAGGAGAATCTTCAAAATAAAGCAAGGCTTCTCGTGTTACCTTAGATCATTTTACCTGCGACAGGAGAGGAATTACTACCTGCTGTGATAAATTCGTCTACCTGTGAACGGTTCACAATAAGAATTCCTACCTGCGGAAGGTTCGAACAGTTCATTGTAAAATGTATGCACACGCATATTCGCATACAGGTATATATTTGTATGCGTACCCATTAAGAAAATTTAAATTATATTTTTTTTTGTCTTGAAACGTTCGACGTTTTGAGTTGAATTATTCAAAAGGATGAAATATTATAATGTTTAATATTAAATATTTAATTATCATTTCTTTCATTGTCTTTTTTAGCTAGAAAATCTATACATATGTATATGCATGATACACACATACACATACATATATATATATACATACTGCAGAAGTGCGTAAACCTGCAAGAGAATTCCAGTTTAGTTACGGACAACGTGATTTAAACGGCCCACTCTTGTAGTTTCCCCATTCTCCCTTTCTACCACACTCTAAAAAGAGGGAGAAAAAGAAAAAGAGAGAGAGAGAGAGAGAGAGAGAAAACCGCGTGAATCATCACTTTGGAAGGATCGGCGCGTATGCATTCCATGCCGTGTCCCAAGAAACCTATTCCAAACGAATTTCCTTCAAGGTATATAATATGCTCAGATATTTCTCTATGTGTGAACAGGAAACAACAGGTAGAAGAAGTACTGGTATATAAAAGTAATAATATTTTATTATATATCAAAACGTTTCTCTCTTTCAAAAGATTTCTAGTATGAATATTGCTCAATAATTAATAAAATAACAATAAAAATGATTTATAGATCCGAATATGGAAGAATCCTAAAATTCATTTAGGGACCATTTGAAGATATGCACGTGTTAACATACCAAAAAGAAGAAGAAGAAGTTTTGTAAGATAAAAAATAATATTAAAAAAAGGATATTAAAGATGAGAAGAAAAGATATATATATATATATATATTTATGGGAAAAAAAAACCAGAAAAAAACAAAGAAGAAGTATAGAGAAAGATAGAGACACGGAAGGGAGACACACCTAAGTGCGACATCGGAGAAGAGCATTCCAGCTGGTGGTGGTGGTGTAAGGTGTGTCATATTCACAGAGAGTTAACGTTTCTGATTTTAAGTTGGTGTACGTAAGAGAGACACTCTCTTTTATACATAAATACATAAAATACATGGATACGTATAGAATAAGAGGAAGAGGAGGAGGAGGATGAAGAAAGCCATTCCTATGGTGGTGACCTCTAGTTGCAGTCTTGCCAACTACGGGCAAGTAGAAGCAAGCAAAACCGGTGTTACTCTCTCTCACTCTGACCCCCCTCCTCTCTTTTCTCTTCTCTCTTATTTTCTCTTCTCTTTGAAGAGTATTATACACACATACACACACCAGTGTTATACTGTATAAGTGTACTCTTTGCCTACACTTGGAGAGACCTCGTCCTTCTTCAACCGACCTGCTACGGACCAGTCTACCACTTGATAGAAGAAGCAAGACACGGCTTGTATAACCAGGATTCCTTATAACGAAAGAACGTCCTTTACCTTCCTTATTCTTTTTCTTCTTATTCCTCAGATATTTCTTCTTCTTCTTATTATTATTATTCTTCTTAGTCCACTTCTTCGTTTTCTTCTTATTTTTAAGAACTCCTTTTACTGGAAGAGAAGAAAGTGTGTTGTTTATCCCAGTGATGTATACTTGATTATAAACTAAAAATTAAAGAAGAAAGAAAGTAAAGGAAAAAAAGAAAGAAAAGAAGAAGAAGAAGGATACGCATTCGTGATTTTTCGTGACAGTGGTCGATACTTATCTTCTATCTCTTTCGGGATCGTTCATTCCTTTAGTTTTCTATCTCTCTCTCTCTCTCTCTCTTCATTTGGAGATGAAGCGTGGAAGAGGAGATACTGATCTCTTCAACGTTTCCTTCGGCAAGAACGACATAAATACATCGAACTTTCGACGAAGACCATTCTTTAAATAAATCTGTAATATTTTACATTTATTTTTTAGTTTTTTTTTATATATTCAATCATTAAAAAAAAAGAAAAAAAAAAAAGAATAGGAAAAAGAGAGATTATAGATCAAAAGCAGAGATCTTGTTAAGATGTTGAAAGTGAAACGAATTAGTGTTAGTGTTGGAGAAACTAAGAGATTGGAAACTTTTCTATAAAGAAAATAAAATAAATAAAAAGAAGAAAAAAGAGAGAGATAGATAGTGTTGTGTGTGTGTGTGTGGGGGTATGTGTGTGTTGTGTGTGTTGTGAGAAAAAAAGAAATAAAGAAGATAAAAAAACAAATTGGAAGGAAGTGCACAAAGGGGAGGAGGATCAATGAACTGTGATGATTATATTATTCTTCTGTGAGATAATCGTATTTTGAAAAAAATAATTAAGAGAATTCGAAGACTGAAGACTTACCCTCGATATATTTCTTTTAAATTGTTCTCTCTAAACAAAATGATAGAAATTGTTGAAGAAATAAATTAAGAAATAAACGTGGATCGGAAATACGCATTGCGCACGAATTTGCGCATTGTTTAATCTGACAAAAAAAGAAAATAGAGCGGGAATTATGAAAAAATTTTTTGAGAAAAAATTAGAAATATTAATGTGATTATTATTATATCGAAGCAAACAAATGCATTTGCGTGTTAAGCACGAAGCTGAAAGTATAATTCTGTCTTTTTTTCTTTTAAAGAAATAAAAACAGAAAAAAGGTTAAAAAAAAAAAAAAAGAAGAAAATATTTATGAGTTGTGTGCATACGTACGTGTGTGTATATATATTCAGTAGCCGGAGAGAAAACAGGATCAATTAGCAGCCTGCTGAAGAATAAGAATAAACGTGAATCTCAGTAATGTCCTTGAAAGTATTGCATATTTCTTCTTTTGAGAAATTTTATATATTTTCTTTTGATTAAAATAATAATAATAGTCATTCTCATTTGGAACAACGAAAATATTTAACAATCGTGTGTGAATATCTCGTCATATGAATAATCGATTCGATCAATATATTTCGATTTCGATAATTGCGATTATAATATGCCCGGGAATTTTTAATATTTCCAATAAGTGCCATTTCCGTTTAGTAAATTTTTTGATTTCTTTTCTATTAGTTCGCGTTTAAAATGACTAAGATATTTGTTTAAAACAAATCAAAGGATTAAGAAATAAAGAATAATTAAATGAGGATACATTTTGTAATATTAACAAGATCGTGTGGGTGATAAAAATACTGTGTTTGTGTATATGAGTGTGAGTGGTGCGTGGAGGAGGAAGAAGAATTAATTAAGATAGTGGGTTTAGAAATTAATCATGTTTCTTGGATCATTCGTAAGAACGTCTTGACGTTGTCATCATCAACATACACTTCGTCGTTGTCATTATTACAACATCGATTTAAGTTTTATTAATTATATATAAAACACACAACGAAAGATGGATAGAAACGATAGTAGTATTGGAAGTGGTACCAATGGGAATTGTCACGTCGGAAATTCAGGATCACCATTGAATTCCTCAACATCCAATCATCCACCAACCCTTCATAATTCTTCCACCGGATTGGACAGTCAGGTAGTTCGATTTAATCGAAAATTTATCGCAATCGATATATCATATTTTCTATTTTCAAATTTCACAATAAATACATAAATATTTTTTATATTCCCATTAAAATATATACGATCGTAAATTGATCTTACAATTAGATAAGAATGAAGTCTAAAAGGGCTAGGGGGAATACAAAAGATTGTCGTGAGACCGATCTCCATTGTTTACGACTTTAAAAGCGAAACAAAGGAGGGGGGGGCTCGTTAGTGATTCTTATACGATTATTTTTACGCGGTAATTTTAAACAAGTTAACTCGCTTACAATGTGAACGTATATTTAAATACTTCATTTAAAATTAAAATACGTTCTGTTGTATCAATCTATAGTACAAAAATGAATGATCTAATATCAAATTAGTATACAAATTGTTTAAATAGAAAATATTTTTATTGGAAATAATTTATTTCCCCTAGGATAAAAAGGTTCCTTGTAATTTAATAAATGCATAACTTAAAAAATATGACCATATATAAATAAATATGTAAATATATATACACGTTTAAGTTTCTTTTCGGTATAACGTAAATCATTTCGCATTCCAGGAGAATCGTGTCGTAAATATTCGCGTAGGAGAAAACCTTCGTGCTTGCAATTTAGAAAGAGAGATTTATTCGATCTATGTACTTTTAAAACTATGTACACACCAACTCTATTTACTTTTATGTTTTACTACCTCCGCTATTTCGTTACGTGAAACTTTTTAAGGAATTATCTAACCATTAGCATACCGATGTGTACCGATTGGAAGGAAAAAAAAAAGAAATAGAAAAGAAAAAACACATCCAACTAGGACACGGTCTGTTCTGAATACTGTCAACATTCTATCGAATTCCAAGAAAAGTATTATATATACTCCCTTCTGTGGAGTATATAAATTCCCTCATCCTATGTCAGACGATACGCTTGAATCTTTCTTCGAAGAAAGTCTCTTATTATATTCCTCTTTTTAACGCTTCGTAAATTACATTGTATTACTAGTGTTTTCAGAGATATTCAAGAAACTTACATGCACTAATTTTACGCTTTATTCCTGCTTAACGTACCGTGGAGATTTTTAAATTTCAACAACGTTTTTAATTTCTTATTACTTATTACAAAAAAAAATAAAAACCTCGTTTATCAAATGATATATATTAAATAAATTTAATACCATAAATAATACTTTGATTTAAATTTGGACGCCATCTTGTCGAATAACGCGCCAAATAAATGTTCAAATTTTCGCGCGATATTCGAAATACAAAGAAATTTTGTGTTCTTTATTTAAGAGTGGTGATAGAGGATGGGAAATTCATCAAGTGACCGTTACTAGAGTTCCTGGTTATGGCTTTGGTATTGCCGTATCTGGTGGTCGTGATAATCCACATTTTACCAATGGTGACCCAGCTATTGCAATCTCCGACGTTTTGAAGGCCGGACCTGCGGAAGGAAAGTTGCAGTGAGTAATGTTTCTTCTCTCGAGAAGAATAAGAATTACAAAAAAGGTTGTTCACAGTCTAGCCTGAGGCAATCTGTTCAAGCTCTTTCATCTTGAACGAAAGAAGTATAACAAAAAACAAAGAAAATGTTTCTACAGACTCGATTTAATGTCTTCTTTCTCTTCGTTGTTCTATGAATCGTTTAAATTCTACGCCATTTTATTTAATAGCCCGCCAAATCAATGTTTAAATTTTCGCGCGATATTTTAAACATTAAAAAGATCGATACGAAAGTCGATATTTCTTTGATTATTATAGATGCATTTAATACTAATTAAAATTATCGAACGTGAACGTTCAAAATAGAAAGTGTAGTGTTGCATGAGACGTTTAAGTTTAGAAATTGTTACGATAGTAAGTATGTATGTTATACCGTTTTATGGTGAATCGAGTTTCCATAAAAAGAATCAATGATGTTGCTGCGTTACGAATGATAAGTATATACAAGTCAGTCGATTGTGTGTTTTTAGGGTAAACGATCGCATCATTTCCGCTAACGGAGTATCATTAGAAGGTGCTGATTATGGAGCAGCTGTCCGAGTTCTTCGGGACTCTGGATCGACCGTTTTATTGGTCGTTAAACGAAGAGCTTCGTCGAACTCATCAACTTGCCAAGGCAATTCTGCTCCTCAAACTCATCGGCTTACTCTCACAAGAAATAATAAAAAAGATGGTAAGAATAGGGTTAGGATTTAACAAGTCAAAGTTTATTTGTAACCTGTCGCAGTTAACAAGGGAATTATTTGTAAAGATTATTATCTAATACAAATTTTGTGTTCAACTTTGTAGATTTTGGTATTGTATTGGGTTGTCGATTGTACGTGAAGGAAGTAACTAGAGAAAACACTGGTGTTAAACCTGGCGATATTTTAACACGAATAAGTGGTATTGCCGCTGATAATATGAGTTTAAAGGAAGCAAGAAAATTAATGGATCAATGTAAAGACAGACTGTCTATCGTTATTACAAGAGATTCTTCCTGTTGTCACGTTCAGCAACAAGTAAAGACTGATAGCGGAGAGTATTTATCCGGTGCTAGTTATAGCAGCCAAAATTTATACGTTCCACCACCAACTAGACAACCATTGGAAGATAAAAGTAATTTGGTACCAAGAGGACGTTCCAGAGGCCCTTTAATGGATGTTTCTTTGAGTCAATTAGATTTACCAGCAACGCCAACAGTTGATCCACCTAGGCCTCCTCCTCCAAGGCCTGAAGGTAAACTACAATTTTCACTTTTACTAAAATCTGTGTATGCTTTTTTGATTTTATAATATTAATCTTTTTTTCGTTTATATAGATTATTATAGTTCGCGAAGACAAATGTACGATGAAGATTCTATCACACATAGAACGAAACAACCAATGTAAGTGCTATATTCTATAAATCATGTTAGGTTTGTTTAGTATCTGATTAAACAAATAATTATTAATGAAAATTTGATATCTAGGCCGGATCCTCGTTTCATTACATTCCAAAAAGAAGGTTCAGTAGGAGTACGATTATGCGGAGGAAATGAGACTGGCGTTTTTGTAACAGCAGTTCAAACTGGTAGTCCAGCATCTCTTCAAGGCCTTCAACCAGGAGACAAAATTTTAAAAGTAAGTTTTCAAAAATATCACCAATGAAACTTTTAAAAAGTATTTAATATTATTGTATATACTGATATTTTGTTGGAATGATTAAATAGGTAAATGACATGGATATGAAAGGTGTAACCAGAGAAGAAGCTGTATTATTTCTTCTTAGTCTTCAAGAACAAATTGATTTGATAGTACAACATCGACGTCAGGAATATGATCAAATTGTTGCATCTGGCAGAGGTGATTCGTTTCATATCAAGTAAGTCTCCCTAAAATTTATTTATTAATATTTGTTAATATAAAAATTTGTAGATGAGAAAGAAGAAAGTATTTAATGTATGATAATAAAACATCTTAATATTTTATCAGGACACATTTTCATTACGAACAACCTGAGAAAGGAGAGATGAGCTTTCGCAGCGGAGATGTCTTTCACGTGGTAGACACTCTTCATAACGGAGTTGTAGGTTCTTGGCAAGTATTTAGAATTGGAAGAAACAATCAAGAAGTACAGAAAGGTATTATTCCAAACAAAGCACGTGCCGAGGAACTTGCAACTGCACAATTCAATGCCACGAAGAAGGAATTAAGCGCTAGCGAGAGTAGAGGTAGCTTTTTTCGAAGAAGAAGAAGTAGTCACAGACGTTCTAAATCTTTGGGAAGGGTGAGATAACATTATTATCTTGCTATTACAATTTATTAGGAATACACGTTTAATATTTTTATTTTAAATTATTATTTAGGATCACTGGGACGACGTGGTATTCTCCGATAGCGTCAGTAAATTTCCAGCTTATGAACGAGTGATTCTTCGACATCCAGGATTCGTTAGACCGGTTGTACTTTTCGGTCCCGTGGCAGATCTCGGTAGGGAAAAATTACTTAAAGATTTTCCCGACAAATTTACTTCCCCACGTGAGTAAATCGAAGTGAGTCGTTAAATTTTCATAATACATATCGTACATCATTATGACCTGAGAGATGCGTTTTAATTTTTTAGAAATGGAAAGTCAAATGGAAGAAAGCGGTAATAAAAATACTAAATCCTCTGGCATTATTCGTTTGAGTGCCATTAGAGAAGTCATGGACAGAGGAAAACATGCTCTATTGGATATTACACCTAATGCTGTTGATCGACTTAATTATGCTCAGTTTTATCCTATTGTGATATTTTTAAAAGCTGAAACTAAACAAGTTATTAAAGAAATGCGAGCAGGTGTTCCCAAGTAAGTTTTTCAATTAATTAAAAATATATAAACATATATATTTATATAACTTATGTTGTTCTTATTTTAATATTCTCAGGTCAGCGCACAAAAGTAGCAAAAAACTTTTAGAACAATGTCAGAAATTGGATAAAATTTGGGGACACATATTTAGTGCTGTTATTACACTTACAACTCCTGAAGCTTGGTATCGTAAACTCAGAGAATTAATAGATCGTCAGCAACAGGGATCTTTATGGATGAGCCAAACGAAGGTACTCTATTTAATGTTATTAATTATTATTTATATTCTTGCTTGTAATAAGATGTTCACATTTGTTACTGTCAGGTATTTCAATATATTTATAATAATCATTTTTAAAATATCAGCTATAAAGTAGAGTTAAAACTGACATTGACAAATCTTATGTGAAATGGGCATATTTATGAAATTGATTCAAAGATTTGTTAATCGAAAAGATTTGAGTTTAAATAATAAGTTTGTTGATTGTAGCCAATATGTAGCCGATATATGAATTCAGATCTATACCTTCCACCTTATCATTCGCATATCCCGCAACCTCCTCTCGCATCACTTATTGAAGATGAAGTATACTTCGATCAAAATAAAAATAATACCTCCCTTTTATCACCCTATTCTTATTCCTCTCCTATAGAACATTCATCATTCATGTCCTTACCCAATACTTCAGATGTCATCCGTGAGCAATTTTTCGGCTACATATAAAAGCCTCATTAAAATTCCCTTTAGATACCATCAATTAACTTTTAATATCCCTAACTTTGTTTGTTAAGTTTTTCGTTGAAATATGTTTAAATATATTTGTTTTTAATCGTTTATATTAATTGTTTAATACATTGTGTCATCTTCGTGTGTCATGAATGATTGCCACAAATCTTAACAAGCATGCGCTCATTAAAATTGATATTATTTATCATTGAATGAATATTTGAAATATTAATTTAATGTGGAATGCCCAAATTTATCGTGAATTAATATACTCATAAATTAGATCTATAAGATCTTAAACAATTGCATAATATTTCTTAATTATTATATTACAGATTAATACATGCATACTAATGGACCGTATACTTGTATGCATGTATTATTTTTTCTTTACTATGAACAACAACAAAATTATATTTAAATATTATATATAATTATTATTTTTGAACTCGAACAAAATATTTTTTTTTTTTTAGATACTTCTTTTTATATATATTAATAATATCTTTGTTATATTTGATATTAAATTATATTGCACAAAAATTAATTTCACAAGTTTAGAAAAAATATTGATGATATATTTATCATATAATACTAACAATGCACTATCATAATAATAAAAAAAAAAAATCACAATACACTTATGCAACTAAAATATATTCTATGTTTACATATCTATCGTAATCGTTGATGTTACCTTTTATTAAATTTGCTATTATAAATACACCTAATGTGTAATGTAATGTTCATGTAATGTTTTGTCCTTTGTGTCATATGATCGTAGCCAGAAGAAGCCCTCTCGGATGACTTCCTATTCCCGATGACATCTCGCCTCTCCTACGCTTCCTCTCCGGAGAGTGATCTGGAATTAAGCCCTGCACCTGCTCTTCCTGGAACATTGGGTCCACCTATACGCTTGAAGAGTAGTTCAGATCCAAGTATTGCTACGCAAGATGATACAACAGCACCACCTCCATATTCTACAAATTATCAAGTAAGTTTGAACTTAATATATTTTTAAATCTGTTAACAATAAATAATAAAATTATGTGCATATATATATAATATAAAAGAGAACATTTTTATTTAGCAATCTTTTGAACAACATAAAAGAAGATCACAACAAGGAGGAGGTGCTGGAGACAGCAAATATGGTTTTTCATTATCAGGACAAACAAGTAATCAATCTGGTTCCCCGGAATATCTTGGAACATCGTTTGAACCTAGATCACCACATCATAGTCCACCGGATTTACCACCAAGGATTGATAGAAATATTAAACCAACTAATCAAACAACTAGAGGAACTGTACGTTCTACTCAAGAAAGAATCATTACCAAAGCTGATTCAGTTTTGGATGTTGGAAATTATATAAACGCGTCTCCTCACAAAGTCAATGCCACATCGTCGCTTGAAAGAACACAAACAAAAGCGGTAAGTTTCTATAATACTCTGATAATATGATATAGGCATTTAAATATCATTTTATCTCTTTATAGGGAAGCTACGATAGTATGTCCTCATATGACTCGTATAATAACAATACTAATGGAAATCCAAGTTATGCTGGTGTGAATCTCAACACATCAACGAATCGTTTAGGCCCAAATGTACCTGATGATTTAAAAAGTAGTGGTATGTCGGCTAGAGCTCATGATCCATACAGATTTACAAGATCTACGGCTCAACCTATTCCTACTCAAGACTCCCAACCTACTAGAACAGATTATGCCAAATATAGGTAAGTGAATCGTGTGTTTATAATTAGAAAAAAAAAATAAATAAATGTCTATATATACATGTATGGAATAGTAGGAGAATTCATTCATTATAAAATTCATGCCATATATATATATCGTAGAAGTGATATATATAAATAAACATTTTTTTCATATAAATAAACATTTTTTTCATATAGGGTGATGGCAAGAACACCTCGTCCATTAAGAAGAGCTTGTAGAATATATATATCGAGTAGAGATACTTTAGTTTAAATTTGAATACCTTTGATTACCTAATTTTCATAATTTTGTTTTTTCCTGCACCCAAGTAAGCTAGAAATATTGCTTTATATATTTATAGCAGGACGACAGACTACAAACCGATATCAATTCCACAAAACAAACCAGGAGGATCATACAAACCGATACCACCCCCAAAGCCTAAGAATTACAGACCACCGCAAACAACTTTAGTAGGAGATGAAAACAGCGGAAATAATAGTAATAATAATGGAAACACTGGAAACAATGGTAACAATGCTGCTGCGGCTTATCAGCATACCAAAAGTTATTCTATTGCCACTTCGCACGTGCATAATGGAGTAAGTATAACAATATTATTGATATTATTATTATTACTGAAACGAGTAAAGACAAATTTTATAAGTTCTTTACTTCACATTTTAGGTAGAGAATAATAGCAACGTTAGACGCAACAACAGTCAGTATTATTATAATATTCCACCACCCACTCGTCATAATGAGAATAATCCGGTTAATACGCATCATAATCACAGCCACATTACACCACCGATACATAGTCATAGCCTGAGTCATACTCATCCTCACTCTAGTCCTCCTGTGACTTCTCATTCTCATTCTAATAGTGCTGGTCAAATTAATCTCAGTTCAACTCACAATCGGAACAACGTCAATCATAATGGTTTCAATCATAATAACAATCATGGAAGTGGAAACCAAACTTATGCTTCCAATAGTTCGACTCACAATAGAGAACCTAATGGTTTAGATTTAGCTGGAAGCAGAGAACAAAGAGGTAGTGCCTTTGAACTTTATCGGAAACCTGTACATCATTATAATATTAGATAAATTTTACGATGGGTATATATTATTCGTAATTAAAATTCTAATTTTCTTTCTTCGTCTTGGTTTTCTTTTTTTTTTTTTTTTTTTTTTTTTTCTCTTCTTGTTCCGATAATATAGATAAGTATAAATCGTATAACACATTATAGATAAAGATAATAATTACAATATAATCACACAATGATATATTATAAATGTAGAAAAAGAAAAACCACCACATCTGCCTTAAAACTACCTCTGTATAATAATGATTGGCAAAGAAATAGTTAGCAATGTATTTTATACAATTGGTTTTATATATATAATACATGTAATAAACTATTAATTAAAATATGGTGCGATAATCTTTCCGCTTTGATAGATTATTTTAAATCTATTTGTATTTTTATTATTATTACTATATAATAATCTACTACGCAATAATTGATTATTTCTAATGATGATGATGAAGATGATGATGATGATGATAATGTCATTGCATTGATTGTTATTGCATTTTAATGATTAATTAATTATATATGAAAAAACTATGACATGTGATATATAATTAAAAGTAACATTGAGAGACAAATGATCATTGTATGACTCCGCGTACACAAGTTTTATATGTTTATTTATTTTGAATCTAAAAATTCAAGATGAAAAATCATATTCTTCCAAAGAGAATGCAATTTTTCTTACGGTAAAAATATACAAACTTATAAAATAACTAAATAATTATATATATATATATATTTATGTTTATATATAAATATTAGATAATCATTTATAATATACTTATAATGATCGCATAAATATTGTTGTATATTAAAAAAGTTATAGATAAATAAAACCATTAAAATTAATATGAAGTTAAAAAGAATAGAAAATACAACAACGAACAAAACAAAAAATCAATTATTCGCTGACAAGTATTAAAATGATTTATTATGTTCGCGAGTTGTTTTTTATAATATTAATAAAAAAAACTCATTATATACGAATCAGCTGATAAATAAGCTATTAAATCAACTGATGATTTATGACAATGTATTGGTTTTTTATATTTGATTAAAAAAGAAATTTTGAAAATTGAAAATAATAAATATAATGAATTCCCTGATGGTTTATTCATGTCATGTATATATTATTCAATTATATTATACAGAACTTTGTAATTTACGCATTAATAACTACACCTACCTATAAACTCTTCATTTTTTCACAGATAAATTCTATTTTAATATTTGTCATTTTTATTATATTGAAGTTTTTACATTCAAGCTGATATATTTATATCCATTATACACATTTTTAATTAATTTAAAAAAAAGGACATTTCTTCCATATATTAATCACGTTACTACTCATGTTCATAAAAATACATATAATCTATTATTTGAAACAAAAACAAGAAAAAAAAGAAACCAAGCACGTAAAGATAGTAAAGCTTGGACAAATAATAATAATAATAATAATAATAATAATAATAATAATGATAATAATAATAATAATAATTAAATTTTAAAAATTATTCGACATATTCATCGTCAATGTGAGATAGTACAGGAGTGCTTTTTCAAATTTCTCATTTCAAATAATTTACAAGAAGGAGAAAATAAAATTAAAACGAAAATAAAATAAACTAAAGCGACCAAACAAGGAAATAAAATAAAAAAAAATAATAATAAATTTTACAAACTAATTTCTTTACATATTAATAACCGCATTTAAATAAAAATTTTTCATCATCAGTATCTTTTTTTTTTCATTCCATTGAAATTTAGTCGATAATATACAATTTTCTTTTTTTTTTTTAAAAACAAATCTTTCCACCGATCAAATGAATTAGTAAAAATTAAATAAAATATAAATGGTATATAACACATTCTCTTCGTCAAAGATAAAATTCAAACAATTTTGCATAAGTAAAATGTGCGTCTAATATAAAAATATTTATATAATTAATTATGCATATTGGTTATGCATAATTTATATTTTGTCCATTTTAATAATTTATATTTAAATATACACTTCGTTGAAGATGTCGATATTAATTTAAGTACAATAACATTACTGTGTAAAAATCATACGTACAGATTTTTGCTTTAACACGAATGACAATAATGATCTTTTTTTTTTGTTTTTTTTTTTTTTTTTGTTTTAATAATAACATAAAGCAGTGAAAGATAATTTCATTTTTTACATACAGAAAAATTTAATGTTTAATATTGATGGTAGTATATAAAATTAAATCGGCGTATTTTTTACTAGCAAGTTTATAAAACAGCACAGAGGTGTTTCGTTTGTACATACACATTGAAGGGAATACTCGGGCAGTTTAGTGTTTTTTAAATGCAAAGATAATACATTAACATAGATCATGTTGTTTATATAATATTAAAATTAATTGTGTAATTTTAATTTATCATATTTTCCGTCCAAAAAAAAAAAAAAAAAAAAAAAAAAGAAGAATGGAGAACACATTTCAATGCTATACTTTTACAAAGTAATAATTTTTTTCTTTTTCCATCATCATTTTGATCATTTTGGATTATAATATGTTAATATAATTACATCGTGGAACATTAAAGGTGGACAAAAAAAAAAAATAATAAGAAAAGCGAACGATAACTTAAAATTTTCTTTGTATAGACATGACCTACAAAGTACCTGAACAATATAAAAATTACATATAAGTATTACACGCGGAAGTTAGTCCTTTTGTCAAAAAATTTGTAATAATCATGAATAGTATATAAAAGTCAGAGTTAAAGTACTTCTAGCATTGTAAATAAATAACTGTACAGTAATAGAGAAAATTTGTCTTGCGATTAATTTTAATAGATATTTTCAATGACATACGGTCGCAATTGTCACGACGATACGTATCGAATAATATAACGTTCGCATAATAAATACAGTTATTAATCTTACAATTCTTATTTCGTATTCGTCAGTTGAACTGGCAATTTGATTTAGGACATGCATAGTTTGGAAAATAGAAAATGCGTTTTTGTTTGTCGTTTGGGGTTAAGAATTATCTAAAAACACTTATGTCAAAAAAAAAAAAAAAAAAAAAAAAAAAAAAATAAGGAAGAAAAGCATAGTCTAGATAATGTTAATGAGAAGCTTCCTCGTTAATATAATGATGAAGCTCGAAGAAAACAGTCATCAATGTTCGGCCACTAAATTGTAAACAATTATTATCCCTAGTGGCGTTATATGAAATATGTAAATGTTAATATGTTCGCTTAAACTAATAAGAATAAACGAACATATTAATTAATGCTTAGCAATCAATATTTCCATTTGCGGAATAGTTAATCAGTCTTGCCCTATTCCCTCCTTGTAACTTTGTTGTTGTTGTTTTTTTTTTTTTTTTTATATAACGTGGACTTTATTACGGGAGGTTCGTTAATTATGGTTTAAATTTGTATAATTATTATTGTTAAGCAAAACTCTATTCTAAAAGATTTTCTCTATGCGCTCTCTTCATCTTCATATACCAAACCTTCAGTACTACGTGGCAGTACAAGAGCTACATGTCCGTATCTATAAAAATATAATTTAAAAAAAAAAAAAAAAAAAAAAAAAACAAACGTTAATCGCGAATTACAGAAATAAGAAGAAAAATACAAGGAATAACGAGAAATCATTTGACTAATTAATGAAATGTAATACAGGATTGTCCAAATATTCCTACCATAAAAAAAAAAAAAAAAAAAAAAAAAAAGAAACGAATAAGAGAAGATATTAACTATAGATTCTTATTTATATATTCACTTACTTGCTGCTCTTATATTTCTCCTGTATTGCTTGTTGTGGTATATTGGGTGCATTCAAAAATGTTTTATTTAAATATGACATACATTCCTTAAGTTCCGTCAAGCAATAACCCGTTGATAATTCTAATTCATGCGGCCATGTTTCTTCTTGCAACGTATGTCGTGCTAATGCTATTGAAGAAGCAGCTAAGTGACTCGGTAAATATTGCAAATACGGATCAGCTTCGAGTAAAGATAATTCACACAAGTACTGAAAATTATATATATCTATTTTATTGTGAATAAATTAGATATTTATAAGTATATTCAATCGAATAAATGTATATTACTTTTATACGCAACAACGAGATGATTCAATTATATGTAGATAATCATACTTACCATTGCTAAAAATTTAATCTTTTCTGACAGATTATTACTAATGCAATAATCTTTAAGAAATGCTAATGGTGTTGGTACAGTAAGATCGAAGGACAACACCCTTAAAATTAAATGCTCCATTCGCAATACCTGTTTTATGGTATACGTATCATCCGTAATATATACAAACTCAGCAACGTCCGGTGGATAAATTTCTTCATATTTTCTATTAAACATAAAAAAACAAATAATTATTTCCTTTCAATCTATAATATGTTTTTTTTATTATGTTAACTATTTATTAATCAAACTTACGCAGCTATAAACATAGCAGCGGTACCAACAAGCTGCAACTTAGCCCGAACAACACTCATATATGATAAGAATCTATCTATATAAGATACAGCCAAATACAACGTTTCCGTTTGTAATCGATATTCTTCGGCTACTTCAACGAGCCAATCTACCAGTATCAACCTCATTAAATATGTTATATCTGGTTGCTTTTTCATGTAACCAGGTTTTGGTCTATGTTGTCTCTATACAAAATAATATAACTAAATGAAACATGTTAATCCTTTTAGATGGATTTATTTAAAAAAAAATAATATGCTGTAGGTACCTCTGCAACACGTAAATAACTATATATATCCGCCCTATATTCTTCAACGTCAAAGAAATTATTTCTAAGTTCTCTAGATGATTCCTTATTAGTTCTGCTTTCTTTATTAGAAGAACTAGAGGAGAATAAAAGCGATTTATCCGGAGATATTGGTGTATCTTGTATGAAACCGTCATCCTGTTGCTTGCCATTTATTATCTCCTGAAGACTGTTGCATATTACAGGAAAATCGTTGATAGATAACGAATTAATGTCTAACCTCGGCTTTTTTTGTCCCGAGGGTACGGTAACTTCTTGGTTTGCTATCACATCTCTCTCTTCTTTAGAATCCCTTAATACGACAGAAGTTTCCTCTTCCAATTTGTCTTCATAAACTTTAAATGCACCCTCTTCCTTCTTATCTTCATAAATTTTAAACGGTTCAAATGGCACTGTCACTATTGATTTAGATTTCGGATGCTTTTCATCTTTGCAAATATCCTAAAAATGTGATCAAATAATAACATTTAATTTATCTCATACTTGTTATGCTATATATAAATAATATAAATAACGTATATAATTAACATAATTATATTTGAAGAATTAAATTATTAAAAATATTATTGTTTAATTATACTTAAGTGTAATACGAGATATGTTTAACGTGAACTTACATCATTTAACTGATAAAATCGTTATCGGTATAACGCCGGGTACAAGAATGCAAAAAGGAAAGAAGGAGAATAAGAAAAATAAGTAAAGGAAATAAGATATAAATAAATAAATATACATACTGTTTTAACAATTCGATGGCAGTTATTATGCAATACACCCAAAACCGCGCGTTTTGATTGTTGCAAGACTTGATTTTGGGCGGGCAAGATATTCTCTTTACCACGAAAGATATCGGTAATCCGGTTTTCTTGATCCTCGTGTACTCGAATAGTAGCCATTGTTTATTAGACTATTTAATAACAATTATAAAATATTTTATTTAATTTTGTCGTTGGATGTTAATCTTTTGGCTTTAGGACACTACGCGTGCCCGCTTATATTCCTTAGTTCCGAAGATTATTTACAATCGTGCATGCATTGCACCAAACGGTTTTCCAAGCAAACCAACAAACTTCAGTTGCCGTTTGATTTTCAAACAAACGTAGCACCAACAGCTGGCTATACGTTACCACAGGCGTTACTTAAACGCACCAATCCGGATAATGTTCAAATTAAAACTATTCTATCGACCAATCATGTATCCTCTTTCAAAACTTTAATTTCTTACTTTACTGACAACTTAAGTTGGTAACACTAACTAAATACGAATTTACAACGTTCTCATTTTGTTTTAATTCATTTGTTATAAAAATATATAGCGATTCCGGAACTTGTAATGCGATATTATTGTTTAAATATATTATTAATAATGTTTTAAGACGTCAACTGTATATTTATAACATTTATTATTATATTTACAAATCAAAAAGGCATGTTTCTATGAAACTTACAAAAATCGATTAAATAGAATCGTCCGATTTCGTAAATCTTTTTTTTATTCTCCGAAGACATTTAATTGTTAACAATTCATTTGTTTTTTAATCATTGACAATGAAAAACTTATTTAAAGATAAACAAAAGGTAACCGGAAATAGAAATAAAAATTTAATGAAAATAGTTAAAACGCTTTCTATAGGTTCATATATTTCACGTATGCGTTAATGAACACATGAAAATTTGACCATAGATACATGCGATTATTTCTAACGCTTCTATTCATGAAAAACATTGATACTTCCGTTACGAAAGTAAGTTCTGTGGATTGTGAAAATAGTGCCGATATTAATAAAAAACCATTGAAACACGTGAAATTATTGTAATTAAATTCATTAAATAAGAACCGGTATTAAGAAGGATCGTGTAAATGACGTAAGTGTTTAAAGAAAAACTATATCGGACACGTACTTTGTCGTCCCGCGTATACAAAGTGCGTAAAGCCATAACCTCCAATAATATAAAGGAGAACAAAAATCATTCTAATTCATTTTTATATAGTTATATAAATTTACGAGTGTTCTAATATTACTTTAGAAGAGGAAACATGAGTCCTTTGAACCGAGGTCCTTTGTTGGGGCCAAGAATTCCGCCAACCGGTGTAAGGCCACTACCCCATCCAAGATTTGGTGCTATATTTCCACCAGGTATGCCTCCAAGAATGCCATTACCTCCAATGAGTGGAATCCTTGGCCCGATGAGACCAAGATTACATCCTCCCCCTAGAATAGGTGGTGTGGCTCAACCTGGTGGGCCACGACCACTTCTACCACCGGGTAGAGCTCCTTTACCTCCCATGCCTGGACCTCGAGGTCCACTTATGTGTCCATGGCCTCGGAGAGTCTTGCCACCACAAATGGTACCACACATGAGGCCAAGGTTCTCTCCTAGAAATGGATCGAATAAAGGGAAACCAGTAAATACCGCTAAGAAAGTCGTCAAGTTTGAGGTATTTGTTATCACGCTTTTTAACTTTTATGTTATTTAAATTTGTTTTTATTATGTTCTCTCTTACATGTTTTTAATTTTATTATCGAATTAACATTGTATTATATTGATTCTTAGTTGAATATTTATTTTATATATATATATGTATAAGTTACCTTTAAAACTATTTTATTGTTATTGATATATACATATTTTTGTGAAACAATAATTCGAATATTTGACCATAAGAAAATATGATTGTTTTAACATGTTAAATGCCAAGTTAGTTCCTACAGACCGACGTTAAACTTTCTGCCAATGGTCAACATACTTATGTTTGTCTATGGCTGATAGATCATCCTGGCCTAAACGAAGAACTCAACAAAAGAGGCTTGGCACTTAATTTGTTAATAATAAACAACGGTCAAACAACCAGACTTTTTACATATATTTTTAAATCCAAAAGAACACAAAAAATAAAGCGAGCAAAATTTATTACTATAATTATTATCAAAAAGTATATTATGATCGTTTAGGAATTAGAATTAAAAAAGCCATGGATGACAGATGAAATTCGAAGCGAAATTCAAAAGAAAAATAAACTTTACGCTAAGGCAAAGAAGAATAAGGACGCTAAAGAATGGGGAGAATTTAAGGATGTACGGAATAAAGTTACAAGAATGATACGGGACGCTAAGAATGATTATCTTACTAAACATCCCGAACAGGTATTTTTTTTTCCTTTTTTTTTTTTTTTATGTTTTTCTGTTTTCTTCCATTCGTCACCACTTTGCCAATTTCAAATTTTTTATTGCATATAAAGGATAATCCATTTTCTTTAAACGAACATATTTACTGGAGCAATAGTTTAAGTAATAAATTAAATTAATATTAAATCGATTATATATTATAGTTGGACCACCTTTTAACTAAGCATTGTATACAAATGTGTAATATTG